TGAAAAGGGAATGAATGCTCTACTTTCTGAGGCAGCCCATTTATTGCAGACTGAAACAGCACTAATTAGGAAGTTTTCCTGACATCAAAGCTACATCTTCTTTTCTCTAACTCCTACACATCATTCCTAAACAGTAGCACTGATTCTTTGGGTGGCAATGGTTGCTGCTGGCACTGACTAGAACTGGGAGGAGTCAGTCACCCGGGGGGGTCGTTCCTGAGGCCTCCTTTAGGCTGATTCCTAGAATTTCAGAGCAGGTAAGGGCTTTAAAGATGAATGAGCTCAACTCCTAATGAAACATGCCCATGCAGAAAGCCAGTCTTAGCCCTGCGGCCGGTCAAGAAGGCTTCCCCAGTGAGAAGGGCTTCAGAAGAGGAAGTGGAAGCCAAGGAGCTAGAAATGGAGGAAATGCTTGTATAAAAATCCGACTTCTTTGGCTCAACCAAGCAACCAAGGCACTCGGTAACACGTCAGCTCACATTGCATTACTGGGTTCTGTTGTTTAATGCAGGGCGTGTTGATTCAGGATGGTTTCATTAAGCCTCATTCTCTGTGCCAAAAGGCACTCTGCTTTGCTCAATGAAAAGGGAGCTTGCTTCTCTAAGAGCGTAAGACAGTCTGCGAGCAGTTCTGCCAACTGGAGAAGCCACAGCTTCAAGGCCACCCTGTCGATGGACCACTAAGCACTTCTCTTTTGGCTTCTTGTTACTGAACCTAAGTGGTTTGAGGTGCATTTAAACTGGCAACTAGAATTCAGTAAATACTAATGACAGCACACCATGAACCTGGCACTGAGATTATAATATTGTGATTACAGGTAGGCGGTAGCACTCTTATTCTCATACTCAATTTACATGGGTTACTTGGGCCCGCAGCTACCCAATTTTTGAGTGTTTCAGTTGTGTCCAACTCTTCATGACCGCATTTATTTTTTTGGCAAAGAAAGTGGAACAATTTGCTATTTCCTTCTGCAGCTCATTTTGCAGATGAGGAAACTGAAGCAGAAAGGCTTAAGTGACTTGCTTAAAGTCACACAGCTAATAAGTATCTGAAACTGGATTTGAACTCATATTCTCCTACTCCAGTCCCAGCGCTCTATCCACTGTGCCACCAAGCTGCTCTAGGCTACCCAATAAGTAGCCTCAAAGGAACAGGAACCCAACTTCCAGATCTGGGCTCTTTCTGCCAGTGGATAGTGTAGTCTCCACATCAAAATGACAGTATTCTCCCTTTGGACACCATGCTCATGATAAGGTAGCTAAGTGCCTAGGAAGTCAGGAGATACAGATGAGGAAGGAGAGTATTCCTGGCATCTCTGGGGGAGGCTAAGCAAAGGAACTGAGTTGGGAGATGGAATGCTGTGCCTGAGCAACAGGAAGGAGGCCAATTTCACTGGATGGAAGAAAATAAGGAATGAGAAGACGGAAGAAGCAGAAAGAAGCCAGGTTGTGGAGGGCTTTACAAGTTGAATAGAGCATTAGCTATTCGATCCAGAAGGTAAAGGGTATCCCCTGGAGTTGGCTCAATACACGGATGATGTGTCAGAGCTGTGCTTTAGGAAAATCAATTCGGCAAATGAATCAAGGATGGATTGCAGCAGAGAGAGGCAAAGCAAGCTGGTGCAATAGTTCTGGCACGAGGTGATGAGGGCCTGAACTGGTCTATGAGTGCAGAAACAGGGATCGGTGAAGAGACGATGTGAAGGTACAAATAGCAAGCACTGGCAATACACTGGTTGTGTGGGTGGAGATGAGTGAATGAGGAATCAAAGATAACCACCATGCTATCAACCTGAATAAGTGAGAAGATGTCGGCACCCTGGAATGTAATACAAAGTTGGGAAAAGGGGAGGTTTCAGAGAGAAAGAGGTTGAATTCTATTTTGGACATGCTGATTTTGAGATGCCTACAGAACATCCAGGCTGAGATATCCAAAGGCAAGTTGGTAGTGTGAGACTGGTGCTCAGGAAAGAGGGGAGGACTGGATAAATCTACATCTACATCTATATCTATATCTATATCTATCTATATCTATATCTATATCTATATCTATCTCTATATCTATATCTATATCTATATCTATATCTATATCTATATCTATATATATCTATATCTATATCTATATCTATATCTATATCTATATCTGTATAGATATGGATATATGAGTATATATGTAAGGATATATATATATATATGTATATATATATATATATATATATGTGGGGGGGTATACACAAGGTATACATTAGTCAAGACATCACCCTGGTGATGTCATTGGTCATCTTTGAGAATGAAGGATGAACAACAACATTTTATGGGGGGTGTTGGATGGGAAATGACACTTACCCATAAGAATAAATGCAAACACATACAAAGTGAATACAAAGTTATTTGGAGGGGTAGGAATAGGGACACTGGCAGCTGGGGGAATCACAAAAGGCTTCTTGTAGGTAGAGGAACATGGGCTACGCTTCGAAGGAAGCTAGGATTTCTAAGGGTTAGAGGAGAGAAGGGAATACAGTACATTCAAGGCCTGTGCAAAACCCCTGAAGCTCAATGAGAGATGCCAAGTTTAGGGAATAACTGTTAGGCCTATTGGCTGGTAGAGAGAGGGAGAGAGGTCTATGAAAGGGAATACTACAACAGGTCACTAGAAAAGAAATGTCAGGCATAATTGTCACCTTTGGTAAGCAATGTCACCTCTCAAGACTGTGTTCTCTTCTATTTAAATAAAGAATTTCTGATACAGGATCCCAGACTGAGGACCTGAACAGACCTCAGAAGTCATAGGGTCCAATGCATCCATTTTACAGATGAAAAAACTAAGGTGTAGGAAAGTTAAATGGTTTACCCAGGGCCATACAGGACACAGGTGACCAAGAGAGGAGTCAAACTGAGGTCTACCTTCTGCTACCCTGAAGGCTAGGTTTGTGAGAACCAAATGAGATAAGGTCACAGGAAAACCGCACTACTTTTCACATAGTTCCAATCAAGGGTTACAGCAGGACAGGACGGTGTGATATCCTCTGGTCCAATCTCCTGCTCATTATTATTAGGCAAGACCGGACACACTGGCACGGGCTTACACAAGACAATACTGGGAATAGTCATGCGAGTTGAGATCTGTGCTCCCAAAACACATGTTTTCTCTTCCCTGGCCCCAGTGAGTGCCACTTCTAGGCGCAAGACTTTATTTTCACAAAAGCCAACATGCACCCATCTGATGAGCCATCACTGGGATCTGTGTCCACAGCTCTGAAGAAGAACAGGCCTTGGGGCTTTAAAAGCAATCGGCTGCTAATGGCTATGTTGTCTCCTTTTATGAGGCCAAGCACAGAATACTTAGTGATCTCACACAAAAAACATAACTGCATCCATCGGAAGCTACGTAACTTCATCAAGGATTAACAATGCAATAGACAGCCATACACCAGACATAAATTAGCTTCATCGCTACATAATGAACAATAGTAAGTCTACGCCACTTTAAGAGGGCTGTTTATTATAAGGCCATAAACAGAGCAATATAAAAGGAATTATTTATGTGGCCCTGCACATCTGTGTTTGCAATCATATCCTCATACATGCTTAACAAAGAAGGATAAAAGCTGGTCTGAGGCATAGGTTCTCTATCCACATCAAGGAGGGCAGGGGTGGACCAGCAACTGGAATCCATACTAAATGTTTTCAACCTTTTCCCCTACCCGATTCTGGACCACAGAATCATGAAATACTGGAAGAAGAAGGCACGTTATAGCATAGACTATTAAAACTGCAAAGGGTCTTAGAAACTGCTTGGCCCAACCAACCTCCTTTTACAGGTAAGGAAATTGAGGCCTAGAGAAATGTGTTTGCTGAAGGTCATTTAACTAACTAATGTCCAAGACTTTAACAATGGACTCCTGGAAACACCCTAAGGCTATTTCTACATCACTTAACAGCCTGTCAGATAATAAATACAAACATGAGGTGACTGATATTTCGCCTCTTGGGAAGAACTGCTCTTCCCTGGAAGTGGCTTCTCCAAAGGAGACACAGGAAGTCTTTCAAAAGCCTGCCATCATTACGGTACCCACTGGAGAAGTCCAGGTGTCACCACTACCTCGAGCCAGAGCCAGCTCATGTCTGAGGTCTCCTCGGCCCACAGACAAAGACAAGTTAATTTCTACCGTATATATCGGCTTCACTGTCTACCATGCGTCTGGGCCCAGTGTCATAGGATCCCAGAGAGATACCAAAGAATGGATGATGGAGAAGAAAGAAGGTGAATCAAGTGGGAGATGGGAATTTTCCTGAGTCCATAGCTCTGAGCAAACATGCCCAAGTTTCCTAAAATTCGGACCCTCTGCAGTAACTGACCTTCCCTGGCATTCCAGAGGGAAGGGACCTCAATAAAGAGATCACCATCACAGCACTGCTCCTTCTGCTGTTTTTATTTCTGCAACTGAGAGCAGCAGTGACTGGAAGTGATGATGGCCCTTGTCCAGACAGCTGCCCTCTCTCCTTAACATAAAACAATTCTGCTTTTTGTGTAGGGTACGGCTTTTTGTGATTTTGTGGAGGGTATAGATTATGCTGAGCCATACAGGACTTTATATAGCATCATAGACACCTCAGTGACCATCTAGTAATCCAACCCCCTCATTTTATAGATAAATAACTGAGGCCCATAAATGACCTCTACCAGAGGTAGAATTTGAATGCATATTCTCTGACCCCAGCACTATGACTCTTCCCATTGTCCTACCTTCTACACCTACTCTGAGAGACTGCTCAGGCCTTCTTTTCATTTCCCAAGTTCACCTTACCATGGCAGGTGGGCTTGGGGCTAAAGGTCAGAATGCAGGGAGACAGAAGGAGGGAGAATAACAAGAGACGTGGAAAATCCACTGAAAATGGGGCTGCGCCAATGTCTTACCAATGTGCTAAACTTGGAAGCTGAAATCCCTCTCAAAAGATCCCAGCCCACCTTCCCTGTCCATGAGGCAGATTCACACTCACCAATTGAACAGTCATGCCCGGTCCAATTGGGATCGCAGCTGCAGAGTCCCGTGTCAGGAAGGAAGGTTCCATGGCCCGAACACTGGTCCAAACATGTGGCCCTCGGCGTTTCACAGCTGGTTCCTCCCCAGCCAACAGAGCAGTGGCACTCACCTCGGACGCAGACGCCCCTTCCAGAGCAGGTAGGATCCAGGCAATCCACTGCATTAAAAAAGGAGAGAGGTCACCAGCTCAAAGGCCTATCTGAGGCTGCCTTATGGGCACTAGGACTGTGGTTCTAGAATGAATGAATGAATGAATGAATGAATGAATGAATGAATGAATGGATGATGTTTACTAAGTGCTTACTACATGCTAAGTGCTAGGCATACAAATAGAAAAGCAAGGCAGCCCCTGCCTTCTAGGAGCTCACACTCTAACAGAATAATAGTATAGGACAATGTATAAGGAGGTTTACTTTACTGATGTTTATGGAAGACCTGTCATGCTTGGTATTTTGTTCTACTGCAATTCCCATGATGCTAGAGGTAACTGCATATTTTCCCCTTTACTATTTCCAAATTCAATTCTAAAATTAAAGAGAACATCAATGGTTTAATTCTCTGGGTAGATAATATTATTAAGAAGAAGAAGAAGAGGAAGACCTAGCATTTATATAGTACTTTAAAGGCTTGAATAGCCCTTTACCTAAGTCACTTCAATTGTTATTAGTCCCATTTTGCAGATGAGGAAACAGCTTGAGAGAAATCAAGTGACTTACCCAGAGCCACAAGACTAGTAAGTGTCTGAGACAGAATTTGAATTCAGGTCTTCCTAACTCTAGGTCCAGTGCTCTATCCACTGCACCACCTGGCTAAGAATATCTTGTCCCGCCCCCCACCCCCAACTCCCACCAAAGACTATTTTTTTCTTTTTTTCCTCTTCTAATGGAAAGTTAGTACTTCCTATTTCTTGAGGTTTTAATGGTGCCAGCAGGACATTTAGGGATGGGGGAAGACTCAAGAAAACAAATTTAAATCTTTGGTATAGATTTAAAGAATCCGTGATTTGGTCTCTGTGGTTTTACTGCCTTCTACCAAAGCAGATCGTAGCCTCACTATGACTTAACAGATGGTCTATGGGAGTTGCTGTGGCTGAAGAAATTAATCACCAATCTGGTGATGAAATTCTCCAATGCAGTTAGGCTGATCCTTGGACATTAGATATAGAATACATTACCATCTCCACATGTAAAGTCCTCGCAGCTCTGTAGAATTGCTCAAACGTGTGCTCCATTTTGAGAACAGGACTACAGGATCATAGACTTAGACATGTAAGGGATCTTAGAGGCAATGGGGTCCAAACCCCTCATATCAGAATCTAGGGTCACTCCCATGCCACGGTGAAAAGCAGGCCTCAGAATTCAGTGCATCTCTGTGTGTGTATATGTTTGTATATGTATGTATGTATGTGTGTGTATGCACAATTTATCACAGGATTTGTAACAAGACCCCTCCCCTCTTTATCTTACAGGTGACAAAAATGAGGCCCAGCAGCGTGTGTAAAGTGTTTCCCAAGATCAAACGGGAGCATTAAACTACAGTGCTAACTCCAAACCGATGTACCTATCTCAGAAATGCACCAGCTTATTAAGGCTGGAGATTCCTAGGTAACTCCTTTAGAATGGAGGAGAGGAAAAGTAGCAAACAAAAAATAAAATGGAGGAAAAAGGAAAAGACAATGGAGAGAATGAAAAAAACCCAAACAAACACTGAAGACAAAGAATCCTTTTTAGAGCTATCCCTGGAGACAACGTGACATTTCTTCAAGAATGACCTCTTGGCCACTCTGGCAATTTTGGGGAGAAAAAAAGATTAGTGACCAGTTTCAGATCCTAGAACCCAGGAATGAAAATGTTGGGCACATTAAGTTACTTTGTTAATTCCCTGGATCCTGTGAGCCATCCAACTTGACAGCAAAGAACCTGGCAATTACTATCTTGAAGCATGCGAAGGTATTTGTCTTTCTGTGAGTTCCTGGCCCTCTGTTCTCAGTTGGAGCAACCTTTGAGGATCCTGGGATGCTGGGCTGAATGAGTCTATAAATCTCCCCTATTACTGAGCTGGAATGAGGATACCAATTTGAGCAGGAGGCCCTGAGAGCCCTGGCCCCTGGTCTTCCTCAGCCTTAATAAGCATGAAAAGGACTGAGAAACAGGCAAACGGCCTCCTATGTTCTCAGCAGACGGTTTGAGCATGGAACAAAGATCACCAAGTCACTGACAAGAAGCTACCTGGAGGCGATTAATCATCTCTTCTGAGGGTCGACTTGGCAATGGGGTGGACTGTGGGGCAGGGACACCTGGGAGAAGGTTAAGTTTTAAAGGGGACTTCAACCAAGAGAGAAGGCAGCTTAGAGGTCTCCCTGCTACAGTGCCAAGGGTTAGCATATGGGCAGGGGGACAGGAATGTGTCTGTGCCAGAACACCCTATTTATCATATACTTCAGGGTCTTTTTCATGCTGAAATGAGCTTTATGCTAAGACTCACACGCAAAAGCTTGGCTAAAATCTCTCGGGGTTGAGCACAGGAGACAAGAACTCCAGATGAGGATGAAATGAGAGCTTCCCTCTACGACCTAGACTAGGTAATCAAAAGTCCCTTGAGAAGCATCAGGAGGTACCAGAAAGAACACCAGACTTTGAATAAATGGAGTTTGAATCAACTGGCTGTATACTTTGTGGGACCTTGATTAAATGATCAAACCTCTTTTGGATCACCTGTAAGATAAGGGGCTGAATCTGATGATCTCTAAGACGCTTTCTAATTCAATTCAATAAGCATTCATTATGCACTGAGTATGTTCCAGGTGTTCTCTAGTCCCTAGGAACCAATCCTTGTCTTCAAAGAGCTCAAAACCTATGATTCTATGATCCTTCAGCCTTAAACTCTATGAAACTATGGCTTGTCAGAAGCCTTGGAAAGAAAGGGAGAGGGCAGGGGTTCATGGTGCCATTCAGTGGGATGGACCTGTTGGGAGGTGACTTTCATTTTCTCTCTCTCTCTCTCTCTCTCTCTCTCTCTCTCTCTCTCTCTGTTTCACTCTGTCTGTCTCTCTCTCTCTGTTTCTGTCTCTCTGTCTCTGTCTCTCTCTCTCTGTTTCTGTCTCTCTGTCTCTGTCTCTCTCTCCCTCACAGAACCTGTGCCAAATGGTCACGTTTCTGCTCTCAAAAGTGGCTCATTTGAAGCTGGCATTTTTGGCAGCACTGTGACCTTTTTCAATAAATCATGCAGTATGGAACACCACCCTCTCCCCAACGTGCTTCATGCTCCATTGGTCACATAAATTATAAGGCCCTATTCAGTACCCCAAGAGCCATGTCTCATTTTTCACTGCTGAGGGCCTAAATTTGTTCTTGTCCCTCATCCCCCACTCTCCTCCCCCCTATACCCCTCAAAGTCCTGCTGGCACCATTCAAGCCTTATAAAACACGGGGCAGTAAAGTTCAGAACAGAGAGAAGCAAAAACTGCATAAGCTTGTTAGCTGAAGTTTTATAAACACTGTTGAACTCACTCATGAGGGAGGGGGAAACGGTGAAAGAGGGAGCCGCACATGAAAACCCATTATAAACAAGAAAACTCAACCAAGCTGAACCAAAGAAATGGAGAAATAATAGAAAGAATCAATACCAGATGGCCCTTCCCAGAAAAGAAATCAAGATGGAAAAACATTTCTTTTCAAAGAAATAATGCAAATCAAAGATTTTTATTAGATTTCTCCCCCACCCCCATAAATATCCCATGGATTTTCCACACTGTATAGTTCTAGTTTATTTTGACAAGACAAATTTTGTCCTGCCTGTGAGAGGCAAGAGTATGGTAGGGGTAAAAGTGGCCCACGGCCTCCAGTGGGAATCTTGTTTTCTTTGGGGCTCTTTCCTTCTCACTGTTTCCACCTGAAGAGAACATGGTGATAAGAGGAAGCAGATGAAAGCCATCAACCTGGAGGCTCCCTCCACATGTGTCTTGGACAAAAAAAAAAAAGGGTTCATGATTAAAAGGCATCCACACGTTTTCATCAGATGCTCACCTGGGATTCCAACTGAAGCTAACGCACCCAAAGAGACACAGGCCCAAAATACTTGGAATTTGCGTGTGAGTCTTCAGCATAAAGCTCATTTCAGCATGAAAAAGACCCTGAAGTATATGATAAATAGGGCGTTCTGACACAGACACATTCCTGTGTCTCAGCCCAGGGAGTTTAGTGAACTCCCGACTGAGGAGACTCCCATTCACAATGCAGGTTGGCACCTTCTCTGGAGGCTACAGCTCTGGAAGAGCTGCTTGACACTGAAAGATGAAGTGGCCTGTCCAGAGTCACACAGCCAGCATGTGTCAGAGGCTGGGTCTGAGCCCACGTCTTCCTGGTTTTGAGACTGGCCTTCTCATGTAGGTACCAATAATCATCACAGTTTTTCACATCTATGTGTTTTCAGTTGTCTTAAGTGTCTGATATCCATGATTTCACTTATGCCTCAGCACAAACAAGCTGGTGATACGAGTACTAGAGGCATTATCATTATCCCTAATTTACAGATGAGGAAACTGAGGCTCAGAGATAGATGTGAAGTGACCTGCCCATAGTCACCTGGCTGTCACACACTCATGTGTCAGAAGTAAGATCTGAACCTACCTTCCTGACTCCAAGTCCAGCACTTTACCCACTGTGTTACACAAGCATTCAGACCATTCTTACTCACTTATCCTATCCATTTAGAATGGAGAAGACTCAGGGACAGTATAATCACTGTCTTCGAATATCTAAAGGATTGTCATGAGGCAGGAGGATTAGCCTTGCTCTGCTGGACCCCTGTGGACAGAACTAGGATCTATACATAGAAGCTAGAGGACAGCTACGTGGTGCCATAGGAAGAGCACCGGGCTTGGAATCTGGAACTCATCTTCCTGAGTTCAAATCTGGCCTCAGACACTGCCTAGCTGTGTGACCCTGGGCCAATCATTTAACCCTATTTGACTCAGTTTCCTCCTCTGTAAAATGAGCCGGAGAAGGAAATAGCAAAGATACTCCAGTATCTCTGCCAAGAACACCCCAAATGGGATCATGAAGAGTCAGATGTGACTGAAATGACTGAACAGCAACGACAGAGGGAAAGCAGATGTCAGCTCAATCATGAATAGTCAGTCTAGTGAATCACAGAGCCCCACTGATGGAGATCATGAGCTGAAGAGGGGACCTCAGACCTCATCTTAGCCCTTCGTTTGTAGATTATGGAATGGAGGCCCAGAAACATTGACCTGACCATGGCGGTACACAGTAAAGCCAGTTGCTGGATCCTGGCATTCTTCATTCCAAATGCCATCCTCTCATCAACCGATCACGCTATCAGTTCAGGCAGGTATTTAAGTAGACAATGAATGTCCCCCTTTCAGGGGTGATATAGAAATGATTTATTTGCTGAGTAGGAGATTTGAGCCTTTGCTCTTTATGGTCCCCATCCATTCTGAGATTCTCCCTTCTCATGGTCAGAAGTCAGAGTGGAGGCCAAAACTCTAAACCTAGAATATGGAGAATCTAATAGTCTCTTCAGTGGGTGCCAGTTCCCATAAGCTCAGTTTTCATTCTGCTCTCCTTGTTTCAGATCTGACTTACTGATATTAATGGAAGAACATAATTCAGAGTGAAGGGAGTTATACGAGGGTCATGGATCACTCCAGGAGCAATGAGGAGATACAGGGTTCTATCCGAGGGACGATTACCTTCTTCACAGCTCTCTCCCTTGTAGCCTGGATTACAAATGCAGGTCCCCATGATGCACGTGCCACGGTTGCTACAGGCCACGTCAATGCACTGGTTGGTGGGCACATCGCACTCAGCGCCTTTCCAGCCGCTGTGGCACAGACACCTCCCCTTCATGTACTGTCCATTTCCACTGCAAAGTACGGGGCAGGAGGCTGTGGAGGAACATTAATGAGGAACATACAATAAATTCAGGATCTGCTTTCCCAGGAGCCAAAGAGTCCAGTGGAAAGGGCTCTCAGAGGGCATCTCATCCAAGCCATCCCTGAACAACAGGCCCCTCCACACCCTTCCTGACAGGTGGTGTTCCAGCCTCCAGTGGCTGGTACAGCGCTTCCTCCCAACGTAGCCCAATCTACTTTCAGACAACATTGGTGGGAATCTTTACATGAGGCTGAAATTGGCTTCTGGGCAGCTTCCTCCTAATGCTCCAATGTGCTACCCTCTGGTCAAATTGTTTTCTTGTAAGACAACCCTTCAAATACTATAAAGAAACTAAATATATGACTAAAATATTATCCTTTGTCCCTTTCTCCTCCTAGCTTGCCTGGTTTTGTCATTTCTTTCCTTGCTTATTCATAAATATCATCTCTTTCTCCATCCTCTTATTTCATCCTAGTATTAGTCTGTCTTTGTTCAAGTCGGCTGCCCCTCCCCCCACCATGAACTCTGCTTTTGATTCTCTCTTCTGGCATCTTCTCCTTGCCACAACCCATCTGCATCTTACTTAAAGCCACCTCCCAGCAAGGAAGGGTCAGAACCTTGGAGAGAGCATTGGTGTCAGGAAGACTGGGTTCTAGCCCTGCCACTGACTGGATGCATCACTGTGATCAAGGCATCTCACCTCTCAGAGCCTCAGTTTCCTCTTCTGTCAAATGGGCATCATAAAACTTACAGTCCCTACCTTGCATGGCTTTTGTGAGACAGACATGTTGTCAACAGTCGAGTGCTCCTAGAGGGAAGGTAAGCTGTTATTTATATTCTTACCATGGCTGCCTCACAATTTGTTCTGCTTTTTCATGCCTCCCTCCTCTGCAAAGAGGCTGCGAACCGGAGGGATACTATCTTAGTGCTTTATTATCTGGTCCCTTTTTCTACTTCAAAGTACTTATTCAGACACTCAACGTGTCATCCTTTTAACCACGGCATCCGATGGCCCCTTTCTATGCCTCTCCAATACCATCCCTTTCACTCTCCCTGCTACGTCCCCTCCCCTCAGGAAACAGGTGCCTCTCACTCCAAAGCCCAGCCAGCTTCCTGCACATTTCAATTCAGCAGTGATTCACCAGACATTTATTAAGCTCATACAATGTGCAAGAGACCATCCTTGACACTGAAGACACAACAATGAACAAAGAGCATAGTTCCTACCCTAAAAGAACAATAATCTAATGGGGACAGGAAGGGGGAATTGGGAGGAGGAGGAAAAAGCAGAAATTCTCAACATGTTCACAAATAATTCTGATACTAGAGAGAGCAGAATATCAATCAATCACTCAACAAATATTTATTAAGCTTCTGCTACGTGCCAGACACAGGTACAAAATGAAATAGTCCCCGTCCTCAAAGAATGTACATTCTAATGAGGACAGCAAGTGTGTGGATGTGTATGCATGTGTACACACATATATCTGCACTGTGCACACATGCACGCACGCATTACATGCGCGTGTATACACATGTTAACATAAATGTATAGTATGTCAACACATGGTTACATATACACAAATCTATATGTGTGTGTGCTGTGTGCATGCATACATGTACATATATTTCTAGAAGTATATATATACTCAGATTGTGATGTATATATGCACACATAATATATGTATATTTTGTACATGTATGCATATATATACACATAAACACACATGCACGTATATACCACCATAAAAATGCATACATACACGTATACGTGCATGCATGTATATAAACACAAAAAAAATATCAAGAGAATAAATAGCTAAGTACAACATAGTGAGGGAGGAAGGGAGGCAGGGCACTAGCAGATTGGCTGCTTGTTCTGTCACTTTTAGTCTTAAAGAGTGGCCGGGGACACTGAAAAGTTGTGATCTGCCCAGTGTTTCACAGCCAATATGTGCTAGAAGAGGGATCTGAACCCAGGTCTTCCCGCCTCCAGGGCCAGGTCTCTAGTCACTAAGCCACACTTCCCCTGGAGCTAGTTACCGCCCATCTGACTGGCTCCTGTCTCTGAGGATGTCTCAGAGCATCTTCACCGCATGGACAAAAATGACCTTGTTGGTGGTCAATCCCTCACTGTGAGAAGAGGAAGAAGGATAGGGGGTTGTTGGCATCACTAACTTCTAAAACGAAGAAATGAGTTAGTGTGACTTACTCCAAATCACAAGACACACTGACGTTGATGGAGAAAGCCCCAGGACCTAGCTCAGGGATGGGGAACCTGCAGCCTCGAGGCCACATGGGGTCCTCTAGGTCCTCAAGTGTGGCCCTCTAAACTGTGAAAGAAGAATGACCTTCTTCCAGGCCCACCTGGTTTTCAAATTAACTGTTGCTCATTTCCTTGCTCTTTGCCCCAACAGCGCTCCCAGGTTAGTGGAATCTCCCGTCTTGTAAATTTGGTGGAACATATTCTATACTAGGAACATTCTGCCCTTTGAACTAAAATCACAGAGTGGGAAGGAAAAATGGGATGGATAGAATATGTACCTTCTCTGTGCCAGGCACTATGAGAAGCATTTTACATTATCATCTCATCTGATCTTCACAATAACCCTAGGAGATAGGCGGTATTATTATCCCCATTTTAGAGATGAGAAAACTGAGGCAAACAGGGGTTAGGTGACTTGCCCAGGATTACACAGCTGGTCTGAGCCTGGATTTGAACTCAGGACTGAATTTTGCTAGATTATTCCTAGAAGAGCCAAAGTCCTGGCATTGTAGGGAACATCCCGGTCTCCCATTATGACACTGCCTCCTCGTGTTGGACTCTAGTCAGGAGACCTGTGTTCGCAGCCTTGCTCACCTTACCAGCTGCGTGGCCATGGGGAGAGTCACTTTGGTGACTCTGCCCTCTTCAACAGGAGGCAGCTGTGAAGAGAGAATAATCATGGCTTCCTGACAGCCAGGAATCACCTGACAGGCTGGAATGGTAGAGAGATGCCTGGCATTGGAGTCATGAAGACCGAGTTCAACTCCTGCCTTGGACATTAACTATCTGTGTGGTATGAGACAAGTCACTTCTCTCAGCCTATTTCCTCATCTGTAAAATGGGGATAAGAACAGCGCCTATCTCCCAGGGATGTTGTGAGGACCAAACGACATAGTGTTTATGAAGCGCTTTTCAACCCTTAAAGTGCTCTATGAATGCTATTGCTGCTGTTATCATCATCATCCTCGAATAAGGACAGTGGAAGGATACTGGCTCTGCAGGGAAGAGACAGGGTTCAAATTCTACCTTGGATGTGTATAACCTGAATAGTCTTTGTAAAATCAGAGGTTTGGACTGGATAGGCTGCAAGGTCTCTCTCCAGACCAAATCTAGGAAAGACCAAATCTCTCAGCCTCAGGTTCCTCATCTGTAAAATGGGGGTAACAATACTTACACCTACTTATTTCTAAGGATTATAGTGAGGAAAATGCTCTTGTAAACTTGAAAGCACTATATTAATATGAGACGTTTGTATCGTTTTTAGCGTTTCTCCATCGTACCAAGCCTTCAGCAGCAACCGCTCCCCCGGCTCCTTCCCCTTTCCCTTCCCTTCACTCTTCCATGCAAACACCATCCATCATTTCCTCTTGTAAGAGGAGCTGTACCCAACTCAGCTCTTTAGCACATTATCTCTCCATTCTACCTTGTACTCCAAAAGGTTTTGTGATCATCTGGATAGAGGACACTATATAAAAATAAATGATATTGCACTGTGCTCCAAGTGCCCACTATTCTTGCCTTGATACAATAAGGCTGTTTTATACAGGACTCTTAACTTTAAGTACATATGGGATGAGACAGTAATTCTTGTCATAAGGAATGACTCTTCTCCACTCCTGACGCATCCTTCCTCCTCCCCCCCAGCCCTCCCCAATCTTCCTCTTTTAAGCACTCACAGCTGGTAATGACATTGCTTCCCCAGGCCGGCCTGCCCAGGAATCTCTGAAAGCCTGTTTCAGACCACGGGAGTAAACACCACAGGAATAACCCCGAGTTGGAGAGCTGGAAAGGACTCTAGGGCTCACCTTGTCCAAGGCCCCATGCTTTACAGAAGATGAAACGGAGGCCTGAGAAAGGGATGTTACCTACTCAATGCCCCACGATGAATTAACAGCGGAGCCTGCTAAAGCTCAGGCTGCCTGACTCCCAAGACAATGTTCATCCCATGTCAGCTCTTTCAGCTTTGGTTTCCCTCTCTGTAAAACAAAGGGGGTGCAGCTAGGTGGCCCAGGGGATAGGTCACTGGCCCCGGAGTCAGGAGGACCCGAGTTCAAATATGGCCTCTGACACTTACTAGCTGTGCAGCCCTGTCATTTAACCATGTCTGCCTCAGTTTCATCATCTGTGAAATGAGCTGAAGAAGGAAATGGCAAACCACTTCAGTATCTTTGCCAAGAAACGGGTCATGAAGAGTCAGACATGACTGAAAAAGTGGCTAAATAAAGTTTCCAAAGCCTTTCACAAACATCATCTCATTTTATCCTCACAATGACCCTAGGAACTAAGAGCTATTATTAACTCTTATTATTATTAATCCCCTTATTGTTACTATTATCCCCATTTTATAGATGAAGAAAGTGAGGGAGGCAGTAAATTGTCTTGCCCGGACTCACACAGCTGGTAAGTATCTAAAGCGAGATTTGAATTCTGATCTTCTTGATTTCAATTTCAGTACTCTATCCACTGTGCTACCTCACTGCCTGTGGAAGGGGAGACAGTAACACAGGGAAGCCACTGGTACAGACGCAGCTTGAGGCAGTATGGCAATCTGGAAGGCTCACTGGCCTTGGAATTCAACTTGCCTTGGCCTGAGGGGCTGTGTGACTTTGGACAAATCACCTGGCCTTCTTTACCTTCAGTTTCCTCATCACATCTGTATCAACTAACTCAGAGGACTGTTGTGAGGAAAAGGGTTTTATGTCCTGCAAAAATACACCCTAAGAATGTGCATGAGCTGTTCTGATTATGTATTTATCATCTGCACCATCTTAGAGAACACTCACTTCTGCAGAACATACACATTGGGGAGCAGCGGGGCTGGGAAGAGGAGGGGGATGTGAAAAAACACCCCCAAAACAACCACCTCTGTCCCAGCCCCATGTATCATTTTTTTTAATACAGTGAGCTCAAGTTGTCATACATCCAGTAAATAATGGGGCCCACCAGCTTTGAAGATAGGGAGCAGACAGGCCCACAGGCTCTAGCTCGCTCTCTCTACAATCACCGTGAGCTGGTAAGACCACACCAGGAGAGAGAGGAACTCTGATGCTTCCTGACAAGAGCCTATCACTCGGAACATGATCAGTAAACTGTATGCCTCCTGTGAGAAGGGGGCAGCTTTTCAAGGGGTGGAGTCCCTTGGTTAGCACTAAATACAAGGTTGCTTCACTCACCCACTTATAGATGATCCTAAGAAAGCCACCGAAAACAATAACTGAACAAACACCTCCCATCACGACACTCCTGCTGTTGGCCAGTCCTGTTAATTCGACCCTTGCAATATGTCCCATACACACTCTGCTTTGTACTCTGACGCTGACACTGCCCTAAGGCTCTCGACAACTCAAGCTGTGTGTGTACATCTGTCTGTCTGTCTGTTCATCTATCTGTTAACTCTGTCAGTCCATCTATCTATCTGTTAACTCTATCTACTCTACCTATCTATTAACACACTCTCTCTTTCTCTCTCTCTTTCTCTCTCCCCCCCACCTCCAGGCAGCTAGATGGTGTAGTGGATAAAGTACCATGCCTGGAGTCAGGAAGATCTGAGTTAAATCTGGCCTCAGATACTTACTAGCTGTATGACTCTGGGCAAGTCACTTAACCCCTATTTGCCTTAGTTACTCATCTTGTAAAATGAGGACACACTGGAGAAGGAAATGGCAAACCACTCCAGTATCTTTGCCAGGAAAACCCCATGGATAAATTCATGGGGTCGGTCAGAAGAATAACAATAATATATATGTATGTGTATGTTCATGCTTATACATATATACATATATACATATATACGTGTTTATGTTTGTATGTGAATACACATTCAGTCAGTCAGTCATTTACTTATTTATCAGGATCAGCAAAACAATGAGTCCTGAGGCCACACCTTGTATACTCCCTCTTTTCCAACTGGGAAGGAGTAGGAGGGACAGAAAATAGATTTTTTGTTAATTGAAAAAAAAAAAGTTTACAACAGTGCAAACTGTTGGAATGAAGAATGTTAGGGCTGGGAACTCAAAGAGGAGTTTTTCAGAATCCTTCATTTTATAGAGGAAGAAACTGAGGCAATGAAGGACTTGGTTCTCCTTCTTGGTCTGAAACTCTTTCTCTACCACCAGTCTGTTAACTAGGAAATACAGAGGTTTGGCTCTGAAAGACTACTGTAGGGGGAATGAGAAGGGAACAATCATTTATTAAGTGCCTACTATATACAAGGCACTGTGATAAGTGTTTTACAAATAGTATCTCATTTGATCCAAAGGTAGTAGGCATTTGGGGCCATTTTGAAACAAGACCCACAAAACCAATGGATTTCAGTTCCACTGCAGAATCTCAAAGTGGCATGAGGTCATTTTGTCCCCAAAGTCAAGATGGCAGGTGGGAACTTCTAGTACCTTTTTTTCCCCAAAACTAGAGCTGGTCCCTGTTTGGGACGTATGGGAATAGACAATCAAAATATAGCCAGTCCTCACCTCTGCCGCAGTCTGGACCCAAGAAACCAAGGAAACAATGGCAGGTCCCAGAAACACAATCTCCATTCCCGTAGCAGTTGCTTGGACAATTATCCACAGATTCTGGAGGAAAGAAAAGGTAAAAGGAATCACTATAACAAAATCAGAGGAAAGCTCACAGTGAATCACAGGATGTTAAAGCTTCCAAAGTAGCCCCATAGAGTCCATTCCCCACATTTTCAAAAGAACTCTGGAGCCCAGAGAGAGAGGGTGGTTTCTTCCAGGTCCCACAGAAAGTCTTGGCAGAGACTCCAAGTGTCTTTGTTCTAGTCCACTGCTTCTGCCATGGATCAAGCGTTATGATGCTCGGCACACAAGTATTTCTTTTACCAAACATCCAGAGTCACTCCAAGCCTTGGCAAAGTAGTCATCTAATACATCTAACATTTCTCGTTATGACAATTATTATTATCACGACTATTACTATTACAGGTATACCTTGATTTAGGAAATAGATGTATTCCTCAAAAATGTATATGAATCTATTTTTGTCATCCAGATCTCATTTTAAAAGCACTGGGAATCTTATTTAAGGCAAAGGTTTTTTATAAAGGAAATAATTACACCATTGATCATTCTGAATATCTGATTTTCATAAATTGAGTATGTCGTAAATCATGTATAGCTGTTACCTGAATCACAGAATCTTGGAAGGACCTTAAAGGTCATCTAATCTGATCTCCCATCCGATAAAAGAATGCCCCCTCCAGCTTTCATGACAGGTGGCTACATAGCCTTTCTTTGGCTATCTCTAGGGAGGAAACCTTGATACCTACTAGAGCATTGTGGGTCAGTTCTGGTGAGTTGGATGCTCTTTTTGTATTTGGAATGGAAACCTGGCCCCACTGTTCCTTGTTCTACCTTCTGGGAACATAGAGAAACATGGTCCCTGTTCATGCAGACTCTTATTTTTATTAGAAGCTTAACAATGTAGTTATGGCAAAACCAATTCGGTTTTAAAGCATGTGAAATTCCTCTGTCTAGTTTACTCCTATGATGCCTACTGGCTATTGGGGGCAGGGTGAGTTGTATGGTTCAAATCTTCATCACCTTCGACCTGGATTGATATGTTTCCTAATAGGTCTCTCCCCTCCCCAGTCCATCCTTCACACAGCTGTCAAACTGATATTCTTAAAACATAGCTCTGGCCATGTCATTCTCTTGCTCAAGAAATTCTAGTGATTCCCAGTTATCTCTAGGATAAAATACAAATTCCTGTTATCACTCAAAGCTCTTTATCACCTGGTCCCAGCCTACCCTTCCAGGCTCATGGTCTATTTCTCTTATTCACACACGGGCTGCTCACTTGTTCCTTGTGTCTTTGCATAGACTTCTATCCCTTTTGGAATACATTCCTTCCTCACCTCCTAGAATCCCTCATTGCCTTCAAGGCTGGAAAATGTGCTTTCTCCAATATTAGGCCCATCCTGATCCCACTCTTTGCTAACATCCTCCAACAATGCTCATCTCTGACCAATCACTTGGTATTTCCCTTGCACATATTTGTATTTACGTCTTTCTGTTAATTAAAATTAAATCAATTAAAATTTGAGTGGGCAGAGACTGTTTTGCATATCTGTTCCATTTCTAGAACGTGCACAATGTCTAGCAAGCACTCAGCTTTTTGAATGAACCAATGAGAATTTAGGACAATTTCAAATTTAAGACTCTATTCTACCATGCTGCCCCTCCAGTCAAGTCTTATTCATCTCTCAAAGAGCTCAGAAGAGTCCTGCATATTTTGCAATAGGTTAATAAATGTTGGGTGAATGAATAAATAAATAAATAATTTACCATCATCTTTCAAAAGCCCATTTGACAGTTATTCGAAATGAATCAGATTGCAATGGAGAAGGAATTCCAACTTAGGTGGGGCAGTTGTGGACTGAGGAGTTGAAATGGATGACTTCTGAAGTCTCTTTTGCTAGGAGAAGATGAAATTCAAATTCTTTACTCTGATGTCAAACAACAAGATACCTTTGATTATGACGGAAGTCATGTTAAAACACTTTGCCTGGTTCCAACTTGTTTTCTGTTCTTCAAACTGTAGTTACTTTAAGAGAAGGAACACTTCTAGATCTGTTCCGACAGGAATTAAAATTTCAGATCTTTATGAATAATTGATTTTCCTAATTGGAAACATGGTTGTAATCTAGTGCATGTGCTAGGGGAGCCGGTAGACGTGGGGGACTGACTTTGATTTTTGCTTTCTCTTCTGAAAGAGGGGTGTGAAAAGGGAGGAAAATCCCTTTGCAGAACTTTTACTTTCTTTCACAAATTTTTTAATGTCACTTGACTGGTTCTTAGCTCATGGATGGAATGTGTGGCAGTAGTATGGGATATGAATTAAGATTCTGCTCTAAACAGGAAAGACTGTGTATAAGGAAACTCAAATTCAGAGGTATTAAAAGTAAGGACTATTAGGTTAAAAGAAAAAGTAACATCCAGAGTAGAAGGGATTTTAGATGAAAAAGAAGACAATCCAGAAGATGAAATGTTAGAACTTAAAATACATTAGAATATAGAATTTTAGAAGGGAAAAACAGAATTTCAGTGCTAAAAGGGTTGTACCCCAGACCAAACATTACAGTAAGGGTGGCAAAGGATGAAAATGGTCATTGTGGAAGGGGGCTGTGAGAAAACAGGCTGGCTGATATACTGCTGAAGGAGCTGTGGGGTGCTCTAGACCATCTGAGACACAATTTGGAATTAGACCAGAAAATCACTAAACTTTATATACCCGTTGACCCAATGATACCACTTCCAGGCTTGTTATACCCCAAGGAGGTCAAAGACAGAGGGAATGGTCCAGTATATACAAAAATATTTAGAGTAGCCCTTTATGCAGTAGCAATGGACTGGAAGGAATGAGAGTGTCCACTAATTGGGGGATAAAGGAACAAACTATGGTGTGCGACTGTAATGGAATACTGTTGCAACATAAGAAATGAGGAATGTGAAGCATTTAGAGAAATTTGGGAAGGCCTGCATGAACTAATGCAGAGGGGAGTAAGCAGAAGCAGAAGAATGATTTACACAACGAACCCAATAATGCAAAGGACAACCACAGGAAAAGATTGTGGCTGTTGTTGTTAAGCTGTTCCAGTCATGTCCGACTCTCCGTGACCCCATTTGGGGTTTTCTTGGCAAAGATGCTGGAGTGGTTTGCCATGTCCTTTTCCAGCTTATTTTACAGATGAGGAAACTGAGGCAAACAGGGTTAAGTGACTTGCCCAGGGTCACACAGCGAGTAAGTGTCTGAGGCTGGATTTGAACTCAGGAAGAATTGGCTTCCTGACTCCAGGACCAGTGCCCCGTGTGCTATGGCGCCACTTAGGGCTCCTGTACTTATGTTAACATTAAGTCCAATTCCCAGTCTATGCTTGAAGGTTCTAGGGAGGTCAGAGCCTTAGGGTTCAATTTTCATCTCTGCCACTGAATGTGTGTGTGTGACCTTGGGCCAGGCCCTTAATATCTCTAAGCCTCAGTTTCTTCATTTTAAAATAAGGGTGGTAGACTAGATTATCTTTGAGGTCTCTTTCAGCTCTAAATAGATGATCCTGTGATCCCTTTGTGGAAATAAGCCTTTATGACATGGATACTTAGTAGTATTTTGGGCAATTTATTTCCTCTTCCATGTTTATTTTTGGGGAATATTATACTGGTCTAAAACACAGTCCACTTCCTACTTAAAATGAAATCACTTTGAAGGGAAAAAAAAGGATATATCAGGCAGTTAGGCGGTGCCATGGATAGAGTACTGAGTCTGGGGTTAGGAAGACCTGAGTTCAAATCAAGCCTTAGATACTTACTAGTTGTGAGACCCTGGACAAGTCACTGGACTAGAAGTCAGGAGACCTGGGTTCTATTACATGTTATGCTGCTAAAGATAGAAGGAATTGTCAGTTACTTTCCTTCAAAAGACCTTCTTTTGTCTCTCCGCTTTGTTCTCTCCACTATCTGCCTCAATTTTCTCAACTGCAAAAAGGGGATAATAATAGCCCTTATCTCACAAGGTTGTATGAGGATCAAATGAGGTAAAGTCCTTAACCTGGTACCCGGCACACAGTAGGTGCTTAATAAATGCTTGTTCTCTCTCCTCACACCAAGACACACTCAAAAACAATAGCACACACAGTAACAACAGCTATACAAAACATTAAGCGTGAAAGTTCTTTCTCTTTGAATAGAGATCTAATTCATATTTTATCATCACAGCGCTTTCAAAAGCATTCACTACTTTCCAATCTTTCCAAAATGAGTACTCTTTACTACCATCCACTGATAAGGGTGAGCTTACATGCTACACTCAGGGCTCTTATCCCAGTGAAAGAAAATGAGCACCACAGCTGGACAAATGTAATATTTCCTCCACCCTGCCTTATAGGAAGCTTTAAGTGGGATGATATAAATATTTCCTGTTTGGGTTGGATTGCCACACAAAGAGAAAGCAGACCATCTCCTGTGTGTTCTCAAAGCACCAGGGACGGCCACTGAAGGGTTCGAGTCCCACTTGGTTGCACCTGGTGTATGTGGGAACGTGGACATTGTATTTCTTTCTGGAGGAATTCCCTAACATCTATAGAAGTCAGAATCCTAGAGCAGCAAAGGATTCTAGAACACAGAAGAGCAAACATGGAATACAGAGTTTCAGATCTGGAAAAGGATCTCAGAACACAGAATACAGAACGCTAGAGCTTAGGACACAGAACACAAACATGGAAAGGGACTTTAAAACGTAGAACATTAGGAGCTAGGATACAGAGTGACAGGATAAAAAGGGACCTTACAACCTTGAATGTTAGAAGTCATCTGGTCTGACTTCCTCATTTTATAGGGGAGAGAACAAATAAGTTCTATTGAAGGAAAGTGATCGGCAATCCCTTCTATCTCTAGCTGCATAACATGTAAGAGAACCCAGATCTCCTGACTTCTTGTTCAGTGATTTTTTTTTGCATCACAGTACCCTACCTCACATGTATGTGACCCACATCTTTTGTTTCCAAAAAACAACACAAAAAAACCACTCCATTCCACTTAGCTCTAATGGATTTAGCAGGTGA